GTGTGATATAACCATGTAAACATGAAAAAGTTGTATTTTACTCGTAAAATGATAAAATTGACAGTTTTGAAAAACTCCCTATGACTTTACTTAGATGAAAGCAGTCAACTTGATACTTCTTGCAGTATTTACCTATTGTTAACTAAATTAGATAGTAAAATTAAAAATGACATTATTGGTATATTTTTAGAATAATGGACACTAAATATGAGCCAAAAACGCTTAAAAACATTTTTTTCATAAAACCAATTTTCGTCATGCTTTTGACATCAACATTCCTGGCAGAGCCTAAGCTTTACGTTAATGCTAAGTTTAGCTGCCAATATCTGCCACCCTGCATTTAGCAAGCGATTTAATATACCCCCCTCCCCTCTACAAAAGCGCCGTTTTTTAATTAAGGTATACGACAAAATCATTCATGCAGCCATTGGGTGCCAAATGTAAAAACAAGTACACTCGATTTCCAGTGTCATATCTAGGAGTGAATTGGGGAGGGAGATCATTGGTGGATCTGGAGGGGTCAGGGACCACACCCCCTTGGACAAAAACATTAAATAAATAAATATTTAAAAAATAATTCTAGACTTAGTTTTCCAGGACCCGTAAGCTGATTATTGAATTTTGTGTTACAATTGGACAATTAAATGTCGGAAATGTCAATCAAAATGTTGATGGGGGAGGACCCCATTTCAAAAAAAAAAAAAGAATGCGTAAGCAATTAATCATATTTATACCTCTACACACACAATAGGCCTCTTTACTGTATTAAAAATCAGAAAATTTACCTGACCGTTTTCAATAGGGTAAACCTTGATTTTGTTTTTTATTAAAGGTCATTAAAAGATACTTCAGAAGTCTGAAAAGCTCACTTCCCGCAATATAGGAATCAACATTTTCCAGGGGCTAACATGATTCCGCCTCTCCCCCGGTTCTTCTTTAGGGTTCATCGATTCATTAAAAAACGTCAAGAGAGGGAAACCAAAATTTTAGAAGTTGAGAAAACCCGTTTCCCGACATATAGGAATCAACATTTTCCCACCACCGTCCTATTTGGGGTTCATCGGTTCATGGAAAACAGAATAGGCCTACGTATGCAAGTACTCATTTTTTTATACACACATAGGCCTGTTTACTGTAGTAAGAATGACAAAGTTGACATGACTGTTTTCAAGGGAGGGAAAATCTTGAACTTTAAAAACTTAAATGTCATTAAAATACACCTCAAAAGTCGGGAAATATCATTTCTCGCCATTTAGGAAACAACATTTTTCCGGGGAGGATCTCGACCCCCTTTCTTTTGAGGTCAATTATTCTAGGAATCATTTTTTTTCCCTACACTTTCTCTTTCGTTTTTATTTTTTTATTTATTTTTTTTTTAAACATTTTGACTCCATCCTAAATCTGAAGCCAAATTGCCTCTGGAGATGATAAGGGCATCCCAAGGTGAGTGATGGGATGGGGGTAAATGCCCGATAAAGTGGTACCGCTCATTTAATTTCTTTTTTTCATTTATTTATTTAGCATCTATTCAAATACAACAATTATTGCTCACGCAAATTATAGCGATATTAGGTAAATTCAGTCTGTTTGACCGTGATCTTTTGTGCTTATTTTCACTGGTGAGGGCTGACTGATGGGGTGGACGCGGACTAAGGGGGTACTGCAGGTGTCTTCTTAACACTCCACCTTCCACCCTTTTCTTTGAAGAAATGTATTTTAATCATGTCACATAAAGTGTAAAATGTTCTAATTTGAATTTGCCGGTCTAGAAACCCTCATTCGTGTCATACTGAGCTCTGGCAAGTTATTCTGTCTAGATCTTAAATTTTACGTCGTCCAATAAAAAAAAATACTTTAATGACGTCATACATATTTAAATATGCTTGCGTTGAAATCTATTTTCTAATAACCAAGGTAATATGAATCTGCCTAGGTATTACAATGAATATTTTACTCATCCAATCAAAAAACAGTAATTTGATGATGTCATACATATTCAAAAATAGTTTAATTGAATACAGCAGGTTCAAAAACCCCTTAAACAGTCTTAACATGAACATAATTAGTATTTTCTTTTGACTTTTGGCACACTTTGAAACAATTCTGGCCCACTGTGCATCGGTAGTTGTTCATCTCACTCAGTTCACGTGGTTTTAGATTATAACAACCCGGTATTAGACTCAATCAACGTTGCTGTTTAATGAAAATATGTTGCATTATGGTTTGTTTATTGTTATAGTTTGTTATATTCTTTTTACTTATGGTTGCTCTCAAAAGGGCCGTTTGTTTTGAATATTTTCGGGGTTTTTGATGACGTCATCGTCCATACGAGGCGTACGTAAAACAGAGGGTTCGTATAACTGGGGTACGTAAAAACGAGGTTCTACTGTATTTTTAAACCTCAGCCACAACCCATGGTGGGTCTGAGGTAAATGTATAATTATTTTCAATTTGCAGACCATTTTAAGGCATATCCATGAAATTGGTATGTGTTGTAATTTCCAATGTAACGTGTAGAGTGTAATAAAAGAAGAACGAAATTAGTTATTTTCCAGAGTTATTTATTTCTGCTATATACAAGTGAACTTCTGCATCTATGCTCAAAATCGTCCAATTGAATAAAAGGATTATGTGGACGTTGACAATCTGGACCTATCAAACTTAAGGGGAGATGTGGGTGCCAGTGTAATAATGTCATAATTCTAGCACACTATACTGAAAAGAATCTGAATATTAATGTCAGCATTTCCCCTGCAACAAAATACAACTGCATTTAAGAATTTTTACTGTTTTAACATTTTGTGCATTCAGTCACATACGCCATACATTATGCAAATCAAGCCCCATAACGTATGGCGAGGAAAGCTTTACACTTGGAATATATAATCAAAGCTACTGCAACTGCCTTGGCCTAAACAGTACCAATATCTTGTTACAAAATCTCTGATACTGTTTAAACTGTCGCATGTGTAAAAAATTGTGACAATAAATGCATAAAATTAATAATTAGCTTAGTATACAGTACAAGCAATGTTTTGAAAAAAAAAACCTAATAGTGTATAACTGGTTCCAAGTAGGATGGAGAATCTGCTACTCTTTAAGAAGGAAAATTTACATGAATAATAAGCAAAGTTAGAGAACAAATAAAATGTTATATATTTGTTCTCTAACTTTACATGAATGATAAGCAAAGTTAGAGAACAAATAAAATATGACATGGACAAATATATAAAATTGAAGAAATTTGGAATTAAGTAAATGAGACTTTGAAAATCATCATGTCATATAACGCCCCAAAGTATCGGAGCGCAAATCATTGGTTTTATAATTTTTCAAAACATTACATTCTTAAGCCCCCATTTACACTAGACACGATTATGACACGACAAGAAGATACAGATGCGTGCAGTGTTGAAGAATAGAAAGTATGCGATGATATGTCGTCATCGTGTCTAGTGTAAATGTGGCTTTACATGGAGTGGAATTTGGACCCGGCCACACACAGTGGAGAGTCTGCTCCAAATGGTAGTACAAAATATTCATTGGTGGCTTATAGTTTCATATGTTTCACACACTTAATCTGGGCTTTGGTATTCAGGAAATTATATTTATACAGGCCCACTATGTGTTACCCTTCTGTGTTTGGTGAATTTTATACACCAATGGGTGGGTGTTGAAACCAAACTTAATCATGCTTAAATTTGTTATGGGATGCAAAAAACAAAATGAAGCAATGTTTTAGTATGATCTTTTTCTTCTATCTTTTTTTATATTACACTTTTACATTTGAAAATGTCAAAATATACAAAGTTTGTACTGGTATTCCAACCAGTTCTGTGTGCCAATAATGCTGGTTTTTATACTGTAGCATAAAAAAATGATTGTCGTGCTGAATTAAATAGCAAAGAAGTGTATAAATTCCTTCTTGGAAATAATCAATTCTAAAAAAGGTAAAACTTGGTAGTACTCCTTCAATGTCTTGACAAGAACTGATCAATCTAGTTAAACTGTACAAAACATCTGTAGAGACAAACTTGATTATGCTGTAGCTTCAATGATCATTTGAAACTCTACTTTATGCTATATCCACACTTCAGGTTTTCTGTGACAAATATTTGTGACGTACCCATCGGCATGTTATCATATCAAACAAATATTTGACACATAAATTTGGATGCGAATCAAGCTAAAGCTATGTCCACACTATCAAATTCATGTGCCCATATTTGGGTGTAATATGACATCATAATGTCCATATTTGGTCACATCACACAAACTTGTCACATCAATAGTGTAGACAGAGCCTAAGGTTGAATTTAATTGTCTCTCAAAATAAGATTTTTCTATGAGTACACTGTTTATATTTCATATTTGATAAAAACATTGAATTCTTCCCCTTGTATGGTTTTATTTTATAGCAAGGGTGTGGTCTGACTGGGATGTCACCTCATTTCAAGTCTAATGGTCTAATGCAGCCAACTTGCTCTTGCCGCCGGACGGTTTGCGTTGGGGAAGTAATGCAGGTGTGGGGATCATCCCTCCAACCACTAGCTCAGGTTGCAGTCGCCTTCCAGGCTTCACTTTCTGCTGGTTCTGTTTGGCCATCATGTAGTCACCAGAGTCAAAAAACTTGTTCTGTTGAAATAAAAATATAAACACTCAAGTTTTCACATCAGAATTACATACAAAAAAAAACCAAATTGGATTTATTTCCTGCAAAAGTCAAGGATTTAACCTCTAATAAGCCATTTTGTAGATCCAAGGGCACATGCCTAGTTCAAAGGTCAGGCATATAAATAACAAATCATACAAAGTATGATTTTTTTGCATTTCATAATTGTATTAATTCAGCTCCAACACAACCTGAAGATCAATACAACCATTTCCCATTTATGACCACTTCTAAGGGCACATAGAAAAAATTATTAGATATCACTCTTTTTTTTTTTAAATTGATGAGGGAGGGCGTTTTTTTTTTAAATCGGAACAATAGATTATTTCACTTTTGTTTTTATTGATGAGGGAGGGACTGTTTATATTTGGTCTGTAATAGTAAATATTGTATAAAAACTGGTTTAATTTTATAGTTTTATAAACAAAATTGCATTGTTATTTTTATGCTGTTGAAATAACTGATGCGGCAAAAAAATTTTTTTTTTATTCCCGCATCAATATTTCCCGATTTTTTGACGCAGGCGGGAGTAATGATTTCTATTTGCCCTAAGAACTAATTTGACTGTAATAGGCAATACTGTGTATTGACGTTCAATAATGCAGCATAGAGGGCAGTGTGAATAAGTGTTGACAGCTTGGGCAAAGGAAAATTATGTAGAACTTGAAGGCATTACAAATACAAAGAACATGAAAACATTATCAAAGGCGCAATGAACAATTAACCCAATTAAAATGATTTTGTAAACAAAAAAGGTTTCAAATTAGTTTTAAATGAGTTTAAATTTGAAGATTGTCGAACAGAAAGAGGTAATAGATTCCAAAGATAAGGTGCCTGAACAGAAAAAGAGCATTGTCCATATGTTTTTAGCTTTCTCCTTTTTGAAGGGGATTGAAGAAAAAATTTATCGGAAGAACGAAGTGCACGAGTTGGAGAGTATGGCGTAAGAAAATGTAGCAAATATGATGGTTGTTTAAAAAAGAGTGATTTAAAAATAAGCAAAAGAATCTTGAATTGAATGTTATCCATTATCCGTTTAATGCTAAGCCAATGAAGGTCTTTAAGAATGGGAGTAATGTGTTGTTTATGTGGAGTAAGTGAACATATCCTGGAAGCTGAATTTTGTACTTTCTGTAAACGATGAGTAACAAAATCAGGCAAACTAACAAGCAATGTATTACAATAATCTAACTTAGTGGAAATAAAAGCATGAACTAAAGTTTCAGTGGACTTGGAACTAAGGTACTTACGAATTCTCCAGATGTTACAAATAAATAAAAACGAGGATTTACAAACAGAGGAGACATGAGGAACAAAAGTGGGATTGGTCAAGAATAATACCTAAACTTTGAACGGAAAAAGCAGGGTTGATAATAACCTCATCAATATTAAGCGATGGAAAGGAGATAGTGTAACAATAGACTAAGAGCAAGTACAGTATCAATTACTGTACTTGTTAGTTTATCCTGCAATGTTGAAGACTATAAAATATGTTTAGTAAATTTGGCATTGTGTGTGGGGCAAATTTTGTTAATGGCTAACTTACACCTCGCTGTAATCTTTTTTTCAACAGTTCAGATCCTCCCGGTTTCCTCATATTTCCATATTTAGACCTTAACTTCGCCTCTGCTTCTTGTTCTGGTGAAATTTTCTGGAACAAAATAAATCATGCTTAAATTCCCGACTTTGATTGGCTTAGTATTCTTAGTACTCTTCCTAGCTAGCCTACTCTAGCGGCTACAATGTCAAAAGTGAACTAGGCCTGGCCCTAGGCCTAAATCTTGTTCATATTATGAATGGTCCATGCATGGTCCATGCATTACACTTTAACTCAAACTTGATACAGGGCAGCAGGCCTTGTGTAGGCCCAATGCAAATTCAATATAATTAGCCCCCCCATAGGCCTAATAATAATAGTATACAATACAATAAACAAATTAAAAATTTATATAAAAATAAGTTTAAAATGTTGGTTGGCCACATGGATAATACTTCTAGGCAGGAATTGTATTTGATAATACACTGTTTCAAGTATTACAGCTAATCTGGTGTATGCCCTACGTTCCTTCCTTCAAGCCTGTCTCTTCCTAGCTAGGACAAGCCTAGGCCTTGCGGCTATCTTTTAAGTTTTAGGCTAGAATGACGTCTTTACCTCTTCCTTTGATAAATCGTCAGTGGCTGTTGAGTCGATCGGGGGACTTTTTTTAGGCTCAGCTTCTGATTTTTGGTTTTCCTTTTCCACAACAACTATTTTGTTCTCCATCTTAAAATTAATGTATCTGATTATCGAAGATGATAAGGAACTCAGTAACTATTCATTAACTAGAATTGTCAGATGATAAACATTAGAAATATCTGTAAATATTACCGTCCTAAAATTGTGGAAATGGCTCCTCTCTTATTTTTTTCGACGATACAAATACAAAGCAAAAGAGGGCGGGCTTGATTTCCGCGCTTCTTCTTTCGACTAGACTTCTCACGACACTGCCGGCCGGCCGGTGCGGGCGCAAGTTTGAAAGGTCGCAAATTGAATAGTTTGAAATTTATGATGCAAAGGTATTGTAAATTTATATATATTTTAAATTTAGAAACAGGCTAAGGGACTCATACTAGGTCTTCATTGTAATGTATTCAGTTTTCTACATTTTTATTGTACCATCAAAGGACGAAATGTGTAGTGTTTTGTCTAAATACAGTTTTAATAGAGGCCTAGCGCCTATAGAATCAGGGCCAAGCCTAAGTTCAGATTTAAAAAGTAGGCCTAGGGCCAAGCTAGGCTAGTAGAGTACTAGTACCGGCCACTTGCGAGTAGATAACAGACGTCAACCATGTTCTGATTGGTCGAAGGAAGACCACACATGTGCTGTGCTATGCTGTACTGCTTGTTTGTTTTGACTGGTTTTGATATGAAACCACAGCACAGAAACGGTTCGAAAGCAACAACCATTCATTTAATTTATTTCACCAATTAAACATTACAAACAATAATACAAAAGGACAAGACAAACCTTGTCATGCCATAAAAACTTGTTTGTTTTACTGTAATGAACTATCGTGTCAACAGTAGTTCTTAAACTTATCACGAATTAAAAATGAATAAATGAATTACTACTCTTTATTCAAATATTTTTTAACAAGTAAAAAAAATACACAGGAGAGGAAAAATAGTCTTTCCATGACGTGGTTGGTAGAGTACCTAGGCCTAAACTTTTTATGATGGGGTTGCAGATAGAGAAACATCTTCGACTTGGTGATTTAAAAATGATAATTAAAAAAATTTAAAATGATAAATAATCTAGGCCTATCGTACTATATCAACAAAAGCAATCTTTTAAAAATTAATTTATAAAATTAATTAAAATGTTATTTTTGAAGGAAACATCTTAACTTCCAGTCTAAAGCGCATTTGATTTTAACATTGTTTATAATTTGCGCTATATATTCTCAATTAATATTATTATTATTAATATTTTTATTGATAGTAATTGTTATTGTTGTAATGGAATAATAGACAATAACTGGATTTGCGTCAGGAGAAACATGTATAGGTGTAATTTTGCCCTACCTGACGTGGAAATGTACCGAATACACAGTACACTTGAAAACAACTGCGAAAAAAATCACAAGTTGTTCTCGGGTGGGACTCGAACCCACGATCTCCAGATCAATAGCCTGGCATCATACCTCTAGACCACCGAGCTTGCGCCTGATGGCCAGGGTTGAATTCGAGTCCAAGTAAGCAGCGGGTACTGCAGTGTTGATAGTAATTGTTATTGTCGTGATGGAATAATAGACAAAACTGGATTTGCGTCGGGAGAAACATGTATAGGTGTAATTTTTTTATTGCTGTTGGACTACATGCACTCACCAACCCGTTGCTACGTCATGGAAAGACTGTTTTTCCTCTGCTGTCCAGGGCCACCGAGAGTTGGGCAGGGGGAAAGGTCAAGGGCCACCGAGAGCGGGCAGGGGGAAAGGTCCCCATGGCCCAAGCTTACCAGGGGGGCACATAGAAATTGAAGGTAGCATTTTTTTTTTTCAATATTTCTTTCAAAAATAATAATTACTCATCATGTGCCCTCAAAAATGTCCCCTATGAACCCCTCCAAATTGACTGGACCTCTAAAAAAAATGTTTGTGCCTTCCGCGCAGTTTACTGTCACAGTTTCCCCTCTTGGCAGCCCTGATGCTGTCTTATTCTTCTTATATTGTTAAAAAAAAATAATGATAAAGTTATAATTTATTAATTAAATATGTGGTAAGTCTAGAACTACTGTTGACACGATAATTAACTATTATACTGCCAAGACAGATGGGAAACACCAATTGATTCGAGCCGAAAGAGGATGAAGTATAATATAAGTTCATAAACATGTTATGCCTTTTTAATCTTGTTGCGTTCGAACCATAGAGATATAATAGCTCTATTGTTCGAACTGAGTTTATGTGCATGGTTTCCATATCAAAACAAAACAAGTAGCGCATGTGCTGCCCTTCGACCTGTCACTGTCACGTGTTCGTTTGACCAATCATAACACGGTTGACGTCTGTTCTCTACTCGCAAGTGTACCAGCCTATCTACACAAAACTCTAGGCCCTTGCTAGCTAGACCTAGGTTGAGGATTTGTCATAGAACTAAGGCCTGTTACTTTACAAATAGAAAGAATAGGCCTCTATAGATTAGTACTACTACTAGCTAGACTTAGGCCCTAGCTAGGCCCCTCCGAGTCCTGGCCAGCAAGACGGCATAGACCTAGGTCTGCGGGTAGCCGAGCGCGCTTCACTACGGTCGCACTTTATTCCGAACAAATATATGGAGCACCAATGGAAATGTGAAAAAGCAAAATTTAATCATTATAAGTTCGTTAATCCGTTTTTCATACACTTTTTTTTGTTATCATTTTAATATAACAACAACATATTTAAAAAGCAAATAAAATGAATACTAATTAAAACAAAATTTCAATCAATTATGAAAATAAAGGGGGTTTGGTATACTGTATGTACTGTATGCTCTTTTTGCTGCATTTTCATATATGATGAAAAAGAAATTACTCAATTAATTTTAATAGGAAATACTGTATGTGCCAATATTATTTGTCAATCAGTTGTTCGTCAATCGGCTTTATATACGTTTTCCGTTTTGTTGTTATTTATAAAAATCAAACTTGTCATCATATTCATGTTTTTAATAACAACATCTTTATACAAACAAAATATATTATTATATTTTCATCGATTTTATGGATGGTATTTATTTTTGTTTTGTTGTCTTTCTACTAACAACATATTTAACAGCAAATATAATGAATACTAACAAATTGGTATACATGTATATGCTCTTCTTTTCGTTGCTTTTTCATATACTATTTTTCTATTACTTGAAATATAGATTAATCAAATTATGAAATATGCCTATATTATGAGTACGTCGGTCAGTTTATCATACGTTTATATTCATTTCGTTGGATAACACAGCAAAATGAAACTTTGAAAAAAAACATCGAAAACTGATTATGAACAACCGATTGACTGATAATATTGGCATGTTTCATGAATTTAATTGAGTAATCTATATTTCATGTAGAGAAGCAAAATAAATATAATATAAAAACGCAACAACAGCATACATACATACCAAATTTCATATATTTTCTTCATGATATTGATAGAAATTTTGTTTAAGTACTCATTTTATTTTCTTTTTAATATATTGTTATTAGTAGAAAGATAACAAAATGAGAATTTTAAAAAACGTATGATAAACTGATTGACAAACTTATAATATTCATAATATTAGGTTTTGCCTTTTTGCAACTCCATTGGCGCTCCATATATTTGTTCGAAATAAGCGGCGACCGAAATGAAGCGCGATTTAAATGATCAGTATTCGGCCTGCCCCCCCCCCCCGGTATAGTATTATACCTACTATAGACTAGGCTGCCTGGGAACACACAAAAAGAAATATATCCTTCAACTGACTGCTACTACAGAATTATGCTGAATTTAATGAAATAGAATTTTTTCCAGAGTTACGCATGTTGACGTATCTTGAATTTTCGCGCTGCGCGTACAGCCTAGCTAAAGCCTGTTTTCCACTAGGCGAATTTATTCATGCAAATCAAAGGTGTTAGTTCGCTTCCTGAGCTCTGATTGGCTGCAAATTTTTTTCGGCTTCGCAAAAAGTAGAAGCAGACTTTCAAACTACCGATTTTGATGAAGGGAAACTCCAATAGAAATGTGAATGCACATACTCATGAACTAACGCTTTTGACTTGCACAAATAAATTCGCCTAGTAGAAAACAGGCTTAAGCCTAGACACAATGTCTCCTCTCCCTGCACATGTTGTGGTAGATGTCACATCACCCATATTGTGGCCTAGAGTGGCTCACACTCTACCTAGCCTAGGGTATTTAAACACTTGGGGCGCAGTCTTATTAAATTACATCAAAAATAACATTATATTATAGTAATTATATTAATTGTTAATATTTTCATAATTTTTTTGTGTTAATATGTAAGTTATTTTCTAATTTTTTTTGTTTGTATTTCATTAAGATTTGAATCGTTCTAAACATATCACCGTTAAGTTTTTTGAAGGTGGGAATTCCACCTTCCGAATCAGAAATTATCGGAGAACATCGTCTAAATTGGTTTTTTTGTAATACCCAATCAGAGCTCTGGAAAAGGTCCCATGTGACCCCAAAATTTTCTTTTTTCCCAATATGGTCACACTTTCTTATTTGGGATTTTGACAAGCACCCTCACGTGGATGTGCTACTAGTTAGCTAGGCCTAGTTTTATTTAGGCTTAGTACCTAAAACTAAAAATCCAGGCTCCAGTCTCGAAAGTGATTTTTTTTCAAATGTGTTGTAACTACAGCACAACTGATTTAAAAACTTGAGGAAAATGGGGGTTACACCTAAACTAAAATTATAAAAAAACAAAATTAAAAGACTTAACATCATATTCCTTCTACTTGTACTTGGTTAATTGGCAGTGTCCAAACGTCTGGATGTGTTGCCAGTGAGAATTTTAAACTTGTTAACCTTAAAATTACCCTCATTTCTTGTACTGTAAGTTAAGTCTGGCCTAGGGTTTATGTTTTTTTCTGATAACTTGTATGTACTATAGCATATACCCTGGTATGCATTTACAACAGTGGTCCACTTGAATCTCCCTATGTGTAATTGTCATACAGTATTTAAATTCCAAATATCTTTATTGCAATCAAAGTGAACAGAGATTGAATTATATTAAGTATGTGTATGGTCCTATTGTTTGCATCGGGCGGTAATGCTGCAAAGGGAAATAATGTCAGAATTGACAGTGGCAAGGAATGTAGGGAGGAGGCCGGTTGGTGAAGCCTTCCACGAATATGCTTTGCGTAAGTTTATCTGTGTTACAAAGGATGATAGTAACCCTCTACATCAGGCTGGCATCTTAATGTGACAAGTGAAAGATATCTTATACTAAACAATATCTTCTCCCCTTCCTTCCACAGGCCATTACATTTTTTAACCTAAACCATAGACGGTAATAATAATAATAATAATAATAATTCTAGAATTTTCATAATTTTAAACTAATGTATGTAAAGGAACCTTTAATCTGGTAATTTAAATAAAACACATAATATTGGCATAACACCATAAATTTATTTTTAAAACAATTAAAATTTCCATTCAAATGTATTTCTTTTGGTTTTCTTCTGTTAGATCTATTGCATCGTCACAGTATATTAGTAAAAGATACAAAAAAGAGCAAAAAGCTCTCTGATCTTCATGAAAGAGCGCTATATTAATGATGTAATGTATGTACTGTATGTATTTTCACTTCACCTTTCAGCAATGAATTGTTTATTCATGTCTTCAACTCACTTCCTTTCCCCCACTCTGCCATTCACTTTAATCTCATTGCTTTGTTTTATTACCATCCATAGTTTATATCCAATAAATATCCGTCTGCTATTTGTAGTTAAAGTAGCATTTCTATTGTAACTTTTAAAAAAAAAGGAGCAGACAAGGAAGTGAGTTGTTTAATAATAAATGATACATATTTCTATGGAAATTACTGTATAAAATAATACAAAAATGGTCTTTTTGTGTCATTCATTTCATTTATTTATTCGACCAAAAAAAAACTGTACAAGAATTAGAACAAACAATAAAACAAATGGTCAGGAAAAACTAAAGCGACAAATGTCACTATGAGTCTTGACTCAGGAGTCAGTAATTCCTGAAAAAAATAACATAAAATAAATCTATATATTATATACAAGACATAAAATACAAATAAAATAAGACTTCAAAATGGATAACAGTCATTAAAATGAAAGTTAAAATTTAAAATTTTAAAATTAAGTGGGAAAAATAAATAATAAAATATTTCATATAAGAAATCGACACATTGCCATAATTGTTTTAAAAAGGTTTTAAAAAAGATATAAAATAAAATTTTATGCTACAGTGTAGTGACATAACTACCACTGCGCAGATTGTTTACTAAAACAATGACTTCATGCTCATTTCAACAACAAATAGTATATTTTTGGTGATTTGTTGTTGAAATGAGCATGAAGTCATTGTTTTACAGGTAGTAAACACTCTGCGCAGTGGTAGTTATGCCACTACACTGTAGCATAAAATTTTATTTTATAACTTTTTACACTAAACATCATCCAGGTGAATCAATCCAGGGACAGCCTTTGGGAACTTGTAAATTTCATTGACATTAATGGTGTGGCAGTACTGGGTGTCAGGGATCAGTGTTTAAGCCCACTTTACACCTTTACACAAAGACTTTTGTATTGAAAGGGCAATAAAATTTTGACTATACTAATGACCTGTCATTGTGCTGCAATTTACACAAGGAAATGTTCAGGCAACTATAGGGTCTTGGAATGGTGAAATGGTCCTGACAAAGTGAAAAAAAAAACAATGCTAAAGGCATTGACTTCTCCAGAAAATGGTAACACTACATTGATTCACTTAATATTAAAGTCAATACACTACACACTGTACTTATTTATAATTACACTGTATTATTTAACAATTTTGGGGGAAAAAATAGGATGAGGACATGCAGGACAGAAATAGGATGTTGACCATGTACTTCTCAAAGAACTAATGAATTAGGATCCAAATTCACTGCAAAAGCTATTAACATTCCAAGAATGTCCATTGGGAGTTTAAAAGAGTCCTTTAAGCCCAATTTACACGGAGCAATTCTTGCTAGCAATATGACCGGTCAAATTGCTAGCAATGAAATTGCTCCGTGTAAATTGGGTAAATTGCTCTGAAACTGAGGTACATGATTGACAGGTTATTACCCAAGCAAGGCCTATAAAAAATTGAACCGGTGCAAACTTTTTCAGGAGAGTTTCTCTCTCTGGAATTTTAATAGCTTTTCCATCAGTTTACTCAAATTTGAGAGTTAAAATCAGGGATAGATAGGTTTATTCTTATTAAAAAAAACATATATATCCAGATGTTTACTTATATTGATCCAATTTTATTGTTCAGAATGTTTTCCTGTTTTCCTGCTTTTTTTTTTAGCCTACGTCCCTTTATGGAATGGAAAATTTCCCAATTTACACGACCAGCAATACCATGACAGGTCATTAGTCAAATTTTACTGGCCCTTTCAATAAAAAAAAGTCTTCGTGTAAACTGGGCTTTTGAGTAATATCTTTAAGGGTATCGTGTTCAGTAGAAATCTAAGCGTTCTCCCACAGGGCCTGGTTATGCTTTAATATAACTTTCTCATAACGGGTTTTTGGAGTGGAGTTGTTTTAAGTTGTGAGAAAAAATCCTACTGTCACAGGAATTGAACCCAGGACCTTGGGATTTGAAGGCAAGCATCTTAACCACCAAACTATTCAACTCCTCCAAATGTGACTACTGTACTTCTCCCTACTTATTTTCTAAACAAAGGAATGATAATGCATTAATGTATACCGTAATAAAAGCTGTATTTTTTCATATTTTTTTTTAAGTTGACATGTCTTCTGTGCAACAATTACATACCAATTGCAGTTAACGGTTATTAATAATGGCAGAGGGAATCAGAACAAGGAGTCAACAACTTAACTTAAGCTTAAGGAAGGAGAATGAGCAAAAGCTGCGCACTGCTGTTGCATTGTTAAAAGTTCAGGATGTGAGAAGGATATTAGAGAGTGGACTTTCACCAAATAATGTTGACAGTTTTGGTTGGACTCTACTTCATGTTGCAGCCTACCATTCACGGGACAGAATGATGAGGTTATTACTTGAATTCAAAGGTATGTCATTTAATTGTCACCTGGGAAAAAACTCATGCCGTCACAGAGTTTGTGGGGCCCTGGCGGTGACTGTTATTGGGGGGCCCTAATAAGTGAGCGAAGTGAGCGTTAAGTTTGTGAGCGGAGCAAACAAACAGACGCTGGGGCCAGGTGGCCACGTAGATCCCCCAGTGTTTGCCCCTTCGTGCTCAGAGCTTATGGCATTTATGAACTGTTAACTGCGTTGTCAGAGAACAGAATGGTCCATGGCTGATGAAATATTCAGACATAATTATGACAACCAACATAGATTACATAGGCCAACTTTCGAAACTGGTATAGGCAGTAGGCCTATGTACTCTATGTAGGTGTAAACAATAAATACAGAGAATATTTTAGCGAGAAACAAAACATGTTTTAATAACGTATAAACAGATTGATCACAAAATACAAAATTTGTCATTGTGTTCACTTATGCACTTAACTGACCTTCTCTTTGTGCATTTTTCAGATCATGGAATGTACCATTATCGTTCGTTATCTTATGTTGTCTTTTTCCCATGCATCCACCACTCTATCAGTAAACCAATGAAAAAAAATTTAGACGGATATATGGCATCCTTCTTTAAGTAATGAGTATCTGTCTGATGGTTAAGTGTGGTGGAGTGAATAGAAATTATTTTTCTTTTAAGCATGAATACAGGGGCATAGGCTGGTTTTGGTCTGGGGTGGGGAAAACAGCCTGGTGTGTGAGAATGGAGAACTTAATCTCTATTCCAATGAAAACTTAATGATCATGTTTTAGTATTTTAACGCACTTCGTGAAACTAATTTGCCGTAATGTGGGAGAGGGGGTGCGTCTGCACCTTTCCAGCCTTCGCCCATGGATTACATATACCTTAAGTCCATCCACAAAGCTTTACTTTAGAGTGTACTTTGTTAATACCCTTAAAATAAAAAACAACCTATTCAGTAACTCCTTGTACATTTTTTCCCCATTGATGAAGATAAGTTGATACTATTCTTTTTGAAGTTTGTTATTTTTATTAAAAAGTACACCTTATCTAATTATTTTAAGGTGATCCCTGTATACCGGACAAGATAGCACATTTCACATGCCTGCACTACGCATCCATGAATGGAAAGACACGCATGGCTAAACTGATCCTTGAATACGATGAAGCTCACACTAAACAGGGACTTGTTAACCAGAAAGGCAAAGAAGGACTGACTGCACTACACCTAGCCGTCAGGAATGGTCATACGGCCTGTGTCAGGCTTCTCCTGCAACATCATGCAGATGTCAATGCGAAAAGTACAGAAGAAATCACTCCGCTGGTGCTCGCCATAGTCTGGGAGAGGATAGGTTGCTTGAAAATGTTAATCAACTGGTCAGCGGATATAGATACGGATGTTGGTCTTCCTCTTCAGTATTCAATCATGAAAGGACGTTCCCATTGTACAAAAATGTTACTGCAGCATGGCGCCAATCCAAATTTAAAACACTACGAAGATGGTCAAGCGCCATTGCACATTGCGGCCATGAAAGACGATCTCAATACATGTGTTATACTCTATGCTTATGGTGCTGATTGTGTGAATAAGAACGAGGATGGCTTAACTCCAGTAGCAGTGGCCAGACAAAGATCCTCACTTGATCGTCCGTGCCTTCAATATCTAACAGAAGTTTCACGTAAGTTTGATATGCACAGTAACACTTTTTGTTAATATAATATTAATAATATTCAGGTTTTAATATAGCGCTCTATACAACTAAATCTCACGATGCCTATGGGGGAAATTCCATAGTTTGCTGCATGAAATATATCAGCGCTTTTTGCACTCGAACCTCCTTAGGTACCCACTTATACTCCTGGGTGGAGAGAAGCAATGTAGATAAATCGAAATGCACAATCGAAATGCACAGCAAGGGATTGAAACCCCGACCTCAAGGTTGGGAAACCAAACCGTTCCTACTGTGCCAAACCACTTCCACTTTTGTTGTTTATTAATGATTTAATTTGTATTGTACTGTATTTTAGATAATCACATTATTACTAATGTGCTCTCTGGAAATTATTCCAGCTGGTTGACACTGCATTGGTATTCAAAACATACCTTTACTCATTTTTGCTCTTAGTGGAGAGAGAGACAATGTGACAATATTATACAGTATTTTGTCACATATTTCTGAAGGAGAGTAAAGACAACTTCAAACTTTGACTCCCAATCTCTTGATAGCATGACTAAAGCATTTCCAATGCACCATACTGACTGCTATCTGAAACCGTAAAAGAATTTCTAGTTGTATATTTTGAAACAAATTTAACAATTATTTCATAATATTTTTTTCTGTTCTTTTTTATCAGGGAATCCTCGGTCTTTGCAAGATATGTGTCGAATAGTGATTCGAAACAGCATTGGAAAATCAAGGCTGTCGAAAATTAACAGTCTTCCCCTGTGCAGGATTATGCTGGAATATTTATCTTATAAATTTGATGGCTGACAAGACAACATAGACATATATTTAACTATGTGTATTTGTAATATAATTATTTGATGGTTTACAGCATCTTGTAACATACTGTACATGTGTATAGTGAGGAGGATGTGTGTCCTGTACATCCGCCATATTCGACAGCAATTTTGTGTGATGGCGTGCAAAACCTCACTAATAGGAAGCCTACACACTATATTACAGCCAATCAAGGATAGGAGACCTCAGGATTTTGCCACTTTTAAAAATTGATTATCTTTACCATTCAAATGCATTTTATTCAAGTAACTTCACAAATGTAAAATGTCTGCACACTATATAACAGCCAGTTAAGGGTGGCAAGCTCAGGCTGTTTATATTTTTAACTGTCATGGAGGAATGATTGCAGCACATAGGAGAGCCTTTTTTTAAAGACTCAGTTTTTTATACCACATTTTGGATCATGGCACTTTTAAAATTGTTAATCATTATCATTCAATATGCATTTAAAGCTCTGTCCAGAATCGAATTGTATGCCCATATATAGTCATGATGTGCCTATAAATCAGGGGTGGGCATAAAAACCGGTCGGAGGACCAAAGTGAATTTTTAATTTAACACCGCGGGCCGCACCCAAACTTTTATGCTTCCAGCGAGCTCCAAAAACCTCCAGGCACTGCTTTTACACCACTTTATTCTCGGTTTTAATGTTAATTTTTACATATAATGGGTGTCGGGCCGTAAAAATTCATTGTCACAGGCCGCAAACAAATCGCTGTCGGGCCGCATGCACTTTGCCCACTTGTGCTATATATGGTCATGATGTGATGTCATGATGACCATATTTAAGCATGTCACTTGTTTTTGTCAAATAAAATTTAGTCTGGACAGGGCTTTATTAACTTCACTTTTTTATATAAAAGCACTTTAGATAATTTGTGTATTTTTTATATAATATATCATACTGAAACACCACACCTTTATTACATTGTTGTGTCTTGCTGCTGTATAAATATATAATTTACTGTAGATCCATAATTTGTTCATTATGATTTAAAAGTTTAAGTATATTTCAGTTATTATTTGAATGAAGTACTGTAATTTCTCGAATAAGCGCCACTCTCGAAATTAGTGCTACAGATGCGACGAATTGCGTTGGGGACAGTCGCATCATAGAATATTATATATGTTTAATTATTAATTCATTATTATTATTATTAATAATTATTATATGTTTAACTATTATTATGTTTATTATATGTTTAATTATTTCTCATGACGGCTTAAAATTGTCCCCGACGATGAATCGTGTCAGGCTGCATTGTGCGACGCTGTCTGAGTTGACCTTTAGACACGTGTGTATTCCAGGCCTTGTTCTGATTGGTCAGTTTTTGAGAAAGAAAATAGGGGCACATATAACTTGCAGTGTTTTAGGTTGTTTTGTTACTGCTGCTCTGTGGGATGTCCACCACTGAAAAGTTGCTATTGTTCAGACCATGGAGGTATTATTGAGAAGGAGATCACTCGAAAAAGCTACGCGCACGCAGCGCTATGCAAATGAACCGAGATCAAAGCTGCCGCAGCGCATGAAGAACGTTTGCGTGATGTGTTCCCCGCCATCAAATTTTCAGCAGGCATAGTTTACCAAAAAATTGAACATGGAAAAATGGAGAGCACCTTCTTTTCTCGATACACACTACATAGAGTCAATCACTATGGCTGCGCAATCGTTTCCATTTTGAAGCTGATACATTTATCTCATAAAATATCAAACATTAATATTTTCCACCAAAAAAAGTTTTTAATGGAACATTTACATGACCTATAAAAGTATAGTATATTTCAACTTCAATTTTCATAAATTGGCCAAAATTCGCTAATTCTAATTTTAACAGATATTAATTAATAAGTGATTGAGGATTATAATAAGCTAAGTCATTTTAGGGTTAACTAGGGTTAACTATTCGAAAAATCAATCCAAAATCCGAGTATTTTTCAGTTTTACGCTGACTTAGCTTTATTGTCGAACCAATTAATCTTTAGACAGAATTATACTGAACACAGAAGTAATTTTAACATAAATACACACTGAAAGTCCGAAAAAATCTAATCAAGGAACATTGTTCATTATAAAGATATTTTATGGGTTAAAATCAAACACTTTATTGCACAACTGCTCTGCTGGAAGAATATAAATGCATGTCGTTGATTGGAGATTATAATAAGCTAAGTCATTTTAGGGTTAACGAAGGTTAACTATTCGAAAAATCAATCCAAAATCTGAGTATTTTTCAGTTTTACGCTGACTTAGCTTTATTGTCGAACCAATCAATCTTTAGACAGAATTATACTGAACACAGAAGTAATTTTAACATAAATACACACTGAAAGTCCGAAAAAATCTAATCAGGGGAACATTGTTCATTATAAAGATATTTTATGGGTTGAAATCAAACGCTTTATTGCACAACTGCTCTGCTGGAAGCATATAAATGCATGTCCTTGCCAAGTTGTTGCTAACGAAAAAATGTGAATTATAGGGTAATACGCGTCAAAGGGATCTGTTGCCAAGTGATCTTCTCAATAATACCTCCATGTTCAGACGTTGATGGCTTTGTTAAAAATACGCCTGATATATAATGGCACAGAGTATTAGAGATCTACCTTAAAGTTTATACAGAGTTAATCATCAAAATGTTTTCTTTTGTTTAATTGTTCCAGTTTGTGATTACTTAATAACAATATATTTGAACTTGCCTTTAGTCGAATCCAAAATTGCATTGAGAAATTGTTTTACTTAGATAAAATTCAACTTACAGATTGTTAATGGGAAACACAACAATTTGTATAAATAAGATCGACTTAGAAATAATTGGAGTGAGGCAAGTTTTACTTATGATATCAAATGTTCCATTTTGACCAAAAATTATGCATTGAATGCATATAAAAGCCTTGTATCTTTGTTGGTGCTTTATAAATGTCAATAATCAAAGTTAATTTGCATTAAAAATTGTTTTTATTTTATGTTAGGAGATTAATACTATTATTTGTTACTTATTTTTAGTATTATCAATATTATTTATATTATTATTATTGCTGCTGCTGTTATTTATTTATTACAATATGTGAAAATTTAATTTTCAAGATCATTTGATTTCATCTCTACCTGAGAAAAGAACAATAATAGTCTGTCTTAGAATCTTTCAACACTTAAGGCCAACTCAGATAGCGTCAGCCGACGCAGCCCGACCTGATTTATCTTCGGGGAGAGTCTTAAGCCGTCGTGAGAAATATTAAACATATTTAATATTCTACAACGCGACTGCCCCTGACGTACCATCGCGTCTGTGTTTAACTCACACAGACCCAACGCGACAACAAAACGCGTCGGGCTGCATCGTAAGACGCTGTCTGAGTTGGCCTTTATAGAAGAATCTTCTTGTCCTATTTGCTAGTAAAGCCTGGTTTGCATAACATCGCTACACACCATAACCGACACCTCATCATTGTTGATTGGTCGGTAGAATCGTGGAGCCTTTCTGATTGTGTAAGTGACAGCTACGCTTGCTTTTTATACCGCTACACGCTGTCTACAACACCTTCCAGATAGTGGGGGCAGCTAAGATTGCAGTGAAAACGTAGCGATTTTATAGAGACCAGACATCACTGTATGGAGGGTGTTTGTTCTATAAAATTGCAACAATTTTATGAACAAATTGTGTGCATAAGTTGGTTAGTATTTTCCATTATTTTTTTTATATTTCTGCTAAAAAAAAAAATGTGGTTTACTCTGTTATATACTGTATCTTGTAAGATACTGTAGTGTAAATAAAAGTTGTGTCAATCTAATTTTGTAAAATCTTTTTGGAGATTGAATTTTATAAAATTGTGTTTGAACCAAGTGCAGAAGTTTTATTGTGATTTCATTTCTATTATTCTGTCAAGAATATTTATACAAGTTATAGTGCAAATAAGATAGTATAATACAGTACGTACGAAATGCACAATGGCGTGCATTTTGATACTTGGAGTATGTATTATACTATCTTATCTGAGATTAATCAGTGGACCTTTCGGTTTTTATAGTGCAAATATGTAATATATATATTTTATATATATATATATATATATATATATATATATATATATTTATTTTAATTATTATAATATATATATATATATATTTACACAAAAAATAATGATGCAAAAACACTGAGTTAGACAGTAGAACACAAAATATTTTATTCAGGAAACGAATATTGTGTCTTGTCCTCAAGACTTCATCAGCAACAGATTACAAGTTGGCAAATACAGATCAGATAATTATATACAATAAACAGTCGGCATTTATTAAGCAGGGTGAATAAACAAGATACAATAATGGAGAGAGAGGGATATGGCCATGTATGTTATGTAGTTAATGAATCTAAAGTGTGGAAAACAATGTACTGTAAGTTAGAATAGGTAAAGCTACAAATGACACAAATATATATATATATATAAAGATGTATCATTGTGAAATGATGTAGCACATTGCTTCATAATAAATATAATGGTAAAGGTGATGACAATAATATCAAAAGTCAAGTTGACTTGTATTTTTGGAATATAATTCATTTAACAAGAATATTTCATGTTTTATTTTGGACGAAATATTCGTGTTAAATAAATTATGCTT